GAAAGGTCTTAAATCAATAACCTAAGCTTCCACCTCAAGGATGTAGTAAAACAAGTGCACATCAAACGCAAAGTAAATAGAAAGAAAGAAATAAGAACCAGAGAGGGAAAAATACTGAAAACAATGAAAAGAAAGTAGAAACAATGGGAAAAAATTAATAAAATCAAAACTTGTTTCTTTGAAAGAGCAACAAAACTGATAATCAGTAGTTTGAAAAGTAAGAAGACACAAATTACCAAAATCAGTAATGAAAGAGGGGACATCATTACAGACCCTACACGAATTAAAAGGATTGTCAGGGAATTTTATAAGCAATTCAACATCAAAAAATAGACAACTTAGATTAAATTGAAGATTTTCTGACATAAATTACTAAAATTACTTAAGCAAACATTTAAAATCAAAACATACCTATAAAAGATTAAGGAAATTGAATTAGTAATTAAATATCTTTCCAGGAAGCCCAGGCTCAGAGGGCTGCAAATTATCAAACATCTTAGAAATATATAATACCAATCCTATACAAACTTCTTCATCTAATAGAAGGGAACATTTCTCAACTTGATTGGTGAAACCACTACTATACTGACACCAGACTAGACAAAGACATCACACGGAAACTACAGACCAATATTCCTCATGAATAAACACACAGATAACTTTAACAAAATATTAGTAAACCGAAGCCAGCAACACCTGAAAGTTTGGTTTAATATTAAAAAATAAATTAATACAATATAGTATATTAATAGAATAACTGACAAAAAGCAACTGATCATCTCAGTAGTTGCAACAAAGAGGAAAAATTCTACTGATACGCACCACAAAGTAGATGAATCGCAAATGCCTAATGCCAAGCAAAAGAAGCCAAACACAAAAGATTACATATTGTATAACTCCACGTGTCTGAAATCTCTAGAAGAGGCAAAGCTATAGAGACAGAGAGAAACCGACATTTGCTTAGGGCTGAGGATGGGAGAGGGTTTGACCTCCATTGGGCACAGGGATTTTTTGGGTTGTTAGAATATTCTAAAACTGGGTTGTGGTGATCATTGCACAACTGTATACATTTGCAAAAGATCATCAAATTGTACACTTACTAGGAGTGAATTTTATTATATATTTAAAAAAAGATGTAATACAAATTTTCTCTGTTGCACAGTGGATTTATTAGTCCCTATTTCATTATGGAAACCCTGGTGGCGTAGTGGTTAAGCGCTACGTCTGCTAACCAAAAGGTCTGCAATTCAATACAATAGGGGCTTCTTGGAAACCCTATGGGGCAGTTCTACTGTCCTATAGGGTCACTATGAGTCAGATTTGACTCAAGGGCAATGGTTTTGGTTTTGTTTGTTTGTTTCATTATATTATTGAATTAAGGCACTTGAGTTAGGGTAACTGAACAGGTTTACTGTCGGTTAGAAGTGCTAATATTTCAATTAATAAAGTTTTTAAAACAAACATTTTTGTTATGAATTTATGAACAGAAACAAATTTTTTTTAATTTAAGAAATAAAGTAATTTAAAATAATTTTTGATTATTTAAATTTTTGTAAAAAGTTATTGTGCTGATATATGTTTATAACTTTTTATTTTCAGGAGAATTTAAATAAAATTCTATTAATTAATTAATTAATTAGGGTTCTTTTTTTATTATTGTACTTTAGATGAAGGTTTACAGAACAAATACTTTCTCATTAAACAGTACACATATTGTTTCATGACATTGGTTAACAACCCCATGACATGTCAACACTGTCTCTTCTAGACCTTGGTTTCCCTGTTACCAGCTTTTCTGTCCCCTCCTGCCTTCTAGTCCTTGTCCCTGGACTGTTGTGCCCCATTAGTCTCGTTTTATTTTATGGGGCTGTCTAATCTTTGGCTGAAAGGTGAACCTCGGGAGTGACCTCATTACTGAACTAAAAGGATGTCTGGGGGCCATACTCTGGGGGTTTCTGCAGTCTCTGTCAGGCTGGTAAATCTGGTCTTTTTTTGTGAGTTAGAATAATAAAATTGTATTTATTATTATTACTTTCCATTTTCTTGAATAAGTTCCTGTGTAATATCAAAAAGCAATTTGGTAATAAAAACTAGCTTCCGGAAACTTCTATTAAGACTTGTTTTCTCTAATAATTATCCCTTTTTTGAGAATATAATTAGTGTAAGAAATATTACATTTTATTACTACCCATCAATAATTAAACTTCAAAGGGAATAAGATACTGATAGATGTAAATGGTTAGATACTATATTATTCCTTCTGCATTATGCATTTTGAGACCAGGATTTGCACTAATTTTACAAAGGAAGCCTGGCCTATCTATAAAAGAGATGTTTTTGAGGGTAGGGAATAATTGAATCATTCATAAGAAATGGCAATCCCTGAGAGGTCTTAGGAAGACACTGTCTGAAAAATACCTAAAATGAAAAAGTCTAGCAAAAGATGCAATGAAAAGTTAATTAACCTATCAAACTCTATTTTCACAATCAGAAAAAAATTCACATCTACAGAAACAGCCATCTATAGCTTTCAGTATTAAAGCAGGAGAGGACAAGTTAAAAAGAATATGTGTTTTAGGGGGTATAAATGTGGTGCAGCAGTAAGAACGCAGAAGGTATCATTCTATAGAGATTCTGTGCTGACAGCTGACACCAGGCACAATTACAAAGGAGGGGTCGTGGCTTTGTGCGACCCTCCTCTTAGTCCCTCTTCCACCTCTGGAGTTGCCCGGTCCTGACGCCCCTCTCTCCCAAGGCCAGCACTGCCATCTGATATTTGCCACCACGACACGCCCTCTGTCGCAGCTTCCAAAATGATCCCTTTGAGACTCCTCTTAATTCCCTTTTTGCCTTGGTGTACTTGGTCAGTTAAGTGTTAAGAGAAAAACAATTGATCAAAGTAATTCACACTAACAAATAATAAGTCTCAATATTCCTATAAGGCATTCCATTTTAAAACGAGGACCTAGTGTATGTAAAATGCCAAGCAGAGTAGTGTCTCAAAGGTTTTCTGTTTCCTCTACCCCTCTGATTCTTTTCCTTGTTGGTTTTTCCAAATACATTACCTAGTTCAACTAAATAATAGGGCATGCAGCTGATCCCTGTTCTGTATTCCCTAAATATAGATGCTGGTGGGAAAACTATGCAGGCAGTAAAGCTGAACATCTGTATCCTTCACCAATCTTTCAGCAAGCCACATTAGTGAGTGGAATGCCTGGGCATAACTTCAATACTATCCTTCCAAGGAATTACATTCCAGGGGTGGAATTGATGGCAATTTGCCCTGCTGATTGCAAGATTTTGGGCTATCTCCCCATAGCTCCTCAATGTCATCATGAAACCCATTGCCACTGAGTCAATTCCGACTCATAGTGACCCTATAGGACAGAGTAGAACTGCCCCATAGAGTTTCCAAGGAGCACTGGAAACACACATTCAAACTGCTGACCTTTTGGTTAGCAGCCATAGCTCTTAACCACTGCGCCACCAGGGTTTCCAGATCCTCATGACTATTCTGCATATCCCTAAGTCCAACCCACCATAGCCTCTAGGTCAGGCAGTGCGCACACGTTTATTGAGCGTCCTCGACCCTTTGTGGGCTCTGGATCCATGCAGGTCTTGCATTAAGCACTGCAGATCGCAAGGTGAATATGACACAATTCAGGGCTTTAAACCATCAGTTTGTTGTACTGTGGAGGCCTGGATGTTGCTATGATACTGGAAGCTATACCATTGGTGTTTAAAATGCCAGCAGAATCAGTCATAATGGACAGGTTTCAGTGGAGCTTCCAGAATAAGATAGACTATGAAGAAAGGCCTGGAGATCTACTTCTGAAAATTAATCAATGAAACCCTATGGTTCATAGCAGAATATTGTTGGATATAGTGCTGGAAGCTGAGCCTCTGGTTGGAAGGCCCTACACAATGTCTGCAACATGCTAACTTAATATTGCTAAAATGTTTCATTTTGTTGTAGATAAGGTCTCTATGAGTCAGAAGGGGCTGGAAAGCAACCCACCACAACAAAGGGCTTTAAAGAGTAGTTTTGGCCTGGGCAAGGTATAATCAGCCTTGAAAAGAAGTGTTCTTGCTTTCTAACTTGCAGCTTAAACATAGTAGCAACGGTTTCAGAGGCTCCTTTGTCTTTAGGTAAATGCACAGAAATGTAAAACTAGCCTGTCCAGTTGAGAGGGAACCTTGTTTATTCCACTCTACAAAATTTACACCTATATGGTTGACTAATTCCGTGCAGGTCCATGAAGATAATAAGCCCTTCAAACAAAGCTGAGGATAAACAAGCTTACACCAGTCAAAAATGGCTTGGGTCTAACTGTCATTTTTTGTACTCATTCTTAAACACCAAGCAACAAGGAGGGTTATTTTCAGGAGGGACTGGTACCTGGAGCAGGACATCATCTCTGTAAAGCTGAGGGTCAGTGAAAAAGAGGAAAACCCTCATCCAGATGGACTGATACAGAGGCTGCAACAACGGGCTCAGACATAACGGTTGTGAGGATGGTGCAGGACCGGGCAGTGTTTTCATTCTGTTGAACACAGGGTTGCTAGGAGTCGGAACCCATCCAATGGCACCTAACAACGTTATCCACAGGAAATGGGTCCTCAAGTGCAAAGGTACTTGATCTAGTCCCTCAGATTAGTGCTACAATTTAGTCCTTTTTCTAAGCGCCTGGAAAGAGAAGTTTTTCTAAACATCTTATTTCCACATCAAATGGCTTCCAGGAGGAGCTGAACACAGGAAACCCAGGGGGATTTTAATGAGGGAAGACCCCAAAACGAAAGTACCTTCCGAATGTACCCAGTTATTAATTCTCTCGCTCCTTAACACACACACACACACACACACACACACACACACACACACACTCACTCTACAGTTGGGGACTGCAGACTGGAGGTGGGAGGTGGCCCGGGGGAGAGGGAGAGGACTCTTTTTAACAGATTCGCTGGATTCCACCTGGACCTAGCACACTTAACGCGAAATGGTGTGCTGGAGACAGGCAGGAGGGACAGGTAAGTCGTGCTTTCTGCCTATTAGGGGCGAGTCCTGGGCAGACGCAGCGCGGCCACCTTGTCCTTCCCGGACGGGAGGTCTGCGTCCCTGCCTCCTCCCTGCGCCCCGCCTGGCGTCTGCGCTATAAGTACCCTGGGCCGCAGAACTCCCTCCAGAAGTTCTCTTGGCTTTTCGCAGAGGGAGCTTTCCGCAGCCCGAGGACTCCAGGGTGCAGGGAGCTCGGGGCCCCAGGCGCGGAGCCCCCCAGGCGCGGAGCCGCGGGCCGGGTGAGCAGCCAGCCGCCGCCTCCCGGCCGCCTCGCCGCCCTTTGGCCGGGTGCCGGCGGCTCACGCGCCCTCTCGCACCTGGTGCCGGCGCCCGCGGGGAGCAGCTGCACCAGCTGGCGTCCGGGATGGGGTCAGTGAAGCGCAGCCTGAAGAAGATGCTGCACCTTGGCGAGAAGGAGCCCCAGGGCGTAGTCTACGAGGGCGTGGAGGTGGACACGGACGCCGGCAAGGACTCCGTTAAGGTACCCATGGCGCGGCGGGCGGGACGGGACTGAAGTCTGGATGGGGGCGGCCGCTGCTCAGCTTTGTCGTCCTGGGTTCGAGGTTTCCTTGTTGGCAGCGGCAACAGGAGGACGGGAAGCGTGAAGGGCGAGGAGGGTGCTTGCTTCGGGTTGTGTGCGCAGTAGAAGGGGAGACCTCAGAATGTGGGGATGCTGGCAGGCCACGCTCGTAAAGCGCCCGCACAGTGCGTGCTTCGTCCGTTTTGTTCTCTTGCTTGCTTGTTTTACCTGTTCTTGCCCTTGGATGGGCATCTACAGTTGGAGGAGACAGATCTACCCCAAAAGCACCTTCGGCCGGTGGTAGAAATGGACAGCTGCCTAAAATCAAGACACTTCTGGAGCAGACCTTTTGGTGCTGTTTGGCTTGAATCGGTTTGTAGATTTTATTTAGAACCAAACAGCTAAATAGTTGTATCTGGAAGTCGAATAGCTGTTAACGAGGTATTGGGGGATGAGAAGCATTCCTGTGTAGTAGAGTTAAACAAAAACAACGGTTGCAATGAGGTATTACAGGGAATGCTCTGGGTGAAAACGA